CTGTTTCTTCCCCAACTAGTCAAAAAAAGAAAGGGGGTCCACACCCCCCCAGAGACCCCCCGCGGGAGGGTGGGGGGGGGGGAAATTGGGGGAGTGAAAGTCCACCCATCTTTAAGTTGCCAAGGTTGAGAAACACTGTCTTAGACCAACTGAAATTTGATCCAGTCAGAGTCAGCAGGTTTGCACATTTTATTCCATCTCATTATCTTGTTGGTATGGCAATGAAATGTTACAAGTACTGGAAAAGCTAGAACGTCTACACCATCTCTGGTTCCAGATTGTCACCTAATGCTTTCCGCTCTTCTTCCCTGCTTTGTATCCAGGAAACACCTTCTCTTTACAAGAACTAGGCTTTGAAGATGTCTCCCCACCCCATGGGACTTTATACCGGACTGACTTAGGGCTGCCCCACGGCAGCTATTCCATCAGTGCGGGCTCTGATGCTGATACCGAAACGGACGCAGTCATGTCACCGGAACATCCAGTGCGGTTGTGGGGACGCAGCACCAAGTCCGGGCGTAGCTCCTGCTTATCAAGCCGAGCCAACTCCAACCTTACCTTGACAGATACAGAACATGATAACACAGAAACAGGTAAGAGAAAGCCTCAGTCAGATACCTGTGTTGCTCAGAGACATTTCTATCCAGGGAGTCCTCAGCAGGAGTCAAAAAAAGTCAAGATGGCAGCTGCAATCACATGGTCGCAGTCGCCATCTTGACTTTTTCGAGCTGCTCCCCTCCACAGACACCCTGCTTTTGATCCATTTCTGTTTCTTTCTAGTGTGTGTGTGTGTGTGTGTGTGTGTGTGTGTGGTTCGGTTGTCCAGTTTTATCTCTAGCACATTCGATGTGAGTATGAAAAGATGGAGGAGGAGAAGCCATTATTCTCATCAAAAATGGCACTTCCTTTTGTGCTCTTGTCCAAAATATTCAGCCATGAATTGCTGAAGGGCTCATGTTTCAAATCCAGCAGGAAAACAGTGGTGCTATTAAGCATCCTGCAGGCTCATAGGAAGGTCTCTCCAAACAGCAATTTAAAAAATAATAATAATACATTTCTCCCGCTCAAACGTTTCCTTTCTTTTTCTCACCCGCCTTTATCTCCTGAATGGATATTTATCTCTTGAAATGATATTCTGCAGATAATTTCCAAAGCCGTCCTGACTGACTTCCGCTGTCTGTGTAAATAGGGGGACAGAGGTGACATGCACACATGCGGACACACACTTTTAGCAATTCATCTTTTATGAAAACTTGAAGGTCACTTCAGCCTTGTTTTTTCCACTGCAAAGATGTCTTGCAATTGCGGAGTCAGTGCTGAAGCTTTAGGTCATCAATTCTTTAGGGCAAAAAGAGTGAACTTAATATACAACTGCATTCTGACCTATTTCTTAATAAAGATGTCATGTGTTGGCCACTGAAAAGACCAGGGTACATCTGGGATATGCTTAGAGAATATTGGAAGTGATTGCCTTCCTCTTACATCTCAGAGTTTGTTTTTTCTCACAGATAATGTGAGTAATACATGCCACAATATCGTGGCACAAATGATGAAAGATGCATCATGTTTGTCAAGAGAAGCCATGATTGCTTGCCCTCCACATGGACACCCGTGATGTGATGCCTCAGTATTTTTCTCCAGTCTCAACAAGGGAGGCCTATTAAGTTCCTTTTTAAAGAAAGCAAATACGTTACATCAGTGGTTTAAAATATATATAGAGAGAGACATACATGCACCATTTGTGGCCCTGAAATTGCATTACCTTCTCTCACAATAATATTACTATCTTTATAATATTGTAGTAGTAGTAATTATTGTTCTTATTCATTTGACTTAGATCCTTCTTGTGAAACAAAGGGCCCTCAGGACTGCTAGTAATAAAAATGACAACCTAAACAGTTAAAAACTGATAAAAGTTCTCCATCTTTTCCAATCAGCAAATCTGGGGGGACAGTTCAGAGGCCAAATGAATTCCTTTCCTCCTTCTGCTTCATTCAGCATGACTGCATTTTTATACAGCTGGGCCACCTGTGATCCTTCAGACCCACGTGGGCCTCGGCCTCATTTCAAAAGCTTTCTGTAAGCAGTTCTCCAATAAAAGTGATTCCTGTTTCTCGCCACTCCATATCCTGTCTATTTTGCTGGAATTATTGTGACGGCTGGCAGAATGATAAAATGGTTCTTTTTTTTTTCCATTGGGAGCATTAGTTTCAGAAGAGGTCTGCTCAACGCTATTCCTCCTCAGAGACTAAGAAGTCACCACCTCCTTAATGCCTCCTTAACTCAAATGCTTATTTTCCCAAGACCACGTAGCTACTGTGTGAGCCCAAGAAAAGGCAGGTCTTCTTCAAGGAGCATGCAACAGGTAGAGAGACGTTGCCCAGGTTGGATCTTATTTGCTTTGGACCCCAATATTGCACATTCTAGAATATGCCTCTCCTTCAGACCTTTCAGCTGAAAGTGTAGAGTTTGTTGTTTATTTACTTATATGGCTCATATGGACGCCCATCTCACAGCAGTGACTCTGAGTAGCGTCCAAAACTAAAACAGCAGCCACAATCCAAACCACAATGGCCAAGATTAATCCTAATTTATAAGAAAAACAACTTTAATCAACAGAGCTCACCTAACCATCTGATCCAAGTGTCTGGGAGCTCACAGAAGCAAAGCACGCCCTGTTCTCTACAGAGTTGGAAGCTTTCACAGGTGAAGGTCTGAAGAAGACTTCTGTCCCACTTGTCCTTATCACCACTTGCCTAGTGCTGCAGAGTCTGTCTTTTTTCTCTTACTTTTAAAATATCACTATAAAATCTCAGGATGAGGTCAGCAGAGGATTTACAGTGAGGCCCCATCAGTATATCAGGACACCCCAGCTCTGTATCTCCTTGTTATTTTCATGAGGAATAGTATTCTGATTTGGTAATGGGCCGGTTGATGGCCATGAATAATCATTCCAACAAGATGGAGAGACAACAATTATTGATCTTACATTTTTAAAGTTTTTATTTAAATGTTTTATCTTAACAAATTTTACCAAAAGAAACAGAAAAATACCAGGAAGGAAGGAAGGAAGGAAGGAAGGAAGGAAGGAAGGAAAAAAACAAAACAGAAAAAAG